TAAAATTTCAAATAAAAACCCACTCCTATGTCGATTAAGAAAAAGGGTTCCCCCTAAGTGAGGCCTCTCACTAAGCAAATCTTCTTTGTTTCTGCGAAGATCACTTAAGTGACTGGCCTTCGCGAAAGCGAGGCTTGCAAACACCAGCAAACACAACCAACTTTCAAATCATTAAAATGTATCTGTGGGATTCGTTTGAAATTCTATACACACAAACCATATATGCAATTTGACTATACCTAACGATTTGAACTCATTGAAACTGTTGAAACATGAATTTGAGATCTCCTTATCCTGACATCCCTGAAAGTCATAAGAAACTAACATAAAACCTAAAAAATCTCGAGACCTCTTAGAAATTTAACCATGACCTCTTTTAGGCTTTGTCCCTCGAATACTTCGACGAAACTCTCAGAATTTCGATCCAAGCATCCAGATCCCGAATATTGACCAAAAGTCAACCTTAAGGCTAAAATTTTAATAATTACCAACTTAAGACCTCAAATCTTTTATTAAAAAAAAATCGAATCTGAAATCGATTACTCTTTTGGACCTATTTCAACATTCAAGACCGATGGAATCGACAGTGAAACTTTAAAAGATACTAGAAACTATTTTTAACAACTTTAGTCTTTCAAATTTTCAAAATTCCTATTTGGTAACTCAAAATTTAAAGCCAATTACAAAACTCATTCAAAAATAACTTCAAACCACTATCGGGAGGGATAAAATAATAATTTTATGAAAATTTCTAAAAGTAACCGTTCGGGTCATTACACTTGCTCCTAGATCTCGTTCGCCGCCCTCCTTCTAATAGTTTGTTTCTGATACAGATCAATTATATCAATTGTATTTTGCTCATTTCTCTCCTTTTTTAACATGTATTAATCAAGCTATAAATATAGATCTCCAATTAAGCTCAGATAATAATCATTTTTGAAAGCATCACATTCTTTTTCAATCACTGTGAACTTTCGTTTTTTATGTTTATTTACTGACTCAATTCAATCAAACTTGTTTAATTAAGTCTAACTGAAAATTTAGTGGATATGAAATTTAAATTGACCAACAAAATATCTTTTGAAATGTTTTTTAATTTTTATATATCATATATAATCAGTTAATCATATTAGCTCAAATTTAATCCAATTCACTTATTTATACCTTTGCTCCATTAGTTGATATATTATAACGATATTTGCAAGAAGACTTAAATCGGAATCATCGGCGGCGAGGCGACAAAATAATTCAAAGTCTAATATCCTGTCAATGTCTCATTTGGTGTCTCTCCCACTTGTAATGTAATGGTAAATTAGATAAACATCCCATTTGATATTCATTATTAAACGCACACCAACTAAAATTATTGTATCGTAGAAAAAACAATAAGAAAGTGGGTCAACGACACTTTTTTGTTCTAAACATTAAATGAATTTTCAAACTAGCATCTTTTTTGCCCTATATATTTATTTAAAATTATAGTCACCATTCACCACCCAAATTTGTAACAATATACTGTATATCTTTTAATGATGATAATGCGAGATTTCATTTGTTTACACTTAATGCTTTAAATTTTAATTATTTAATTCTCCTTATTATGTATGTTTATTTTTTTAGATTGAATTTTAATTATTCAGATTTATTTTATTAAGTTGATTTATTTTATTTTTTTCTAGGTTTTTTAATGATTGAATATATCTGAATGAATCAGATTTGTAGCACACTCTTAACATCATTCAGACCTAAAAAAGAAGACTCTTATATTAATTCAACTACAACACAACAACTCATAAAAAGTTGTTTCTTATTTAATTAATGTTAATTACATGCTTATCTTTACAATTCTCTTTATTCTTATTAACTTATTACAGGTCTTTTATTTTCATAAATTAATCAATATCCGTGATATAATATTTAGCACGATTTTAGAATATAAGAAAGTATTAATTATTTGACCGATAACAATAACAAATGTCTATTATAATAAAATGTTTTCATAAACATTATATTACTACTATATATCAACTGTTTTAATTGCATTATATTAGATTCTCAAAATTTATGAGTGCAAAGAATAGTCATATTACTGATGTAACTTAATATTAAATTCTTAAAAGATAAATCATACTACCTTGTTACGATAAAATGTTCAAAGTACTATTTTTATTTTTAAAAAATATTTTATTAAAATGAGGTTTTTTATAATATTTTGTTGATATAGCGTTTAAATTCATATACACATTAAGATATTGCAAATAAACAGGAGTCCGGAGCCTAAAGGGTACAAAATATTAACAAAAATTTCAAAATGGTATATACAATTTTATATTAACTAAAACGGTAAATTCGCTGCATCAACAATAATTTACTTCACTGAAAAAACAAAATCGCTGCCTCTGCAGCGATTTTACAAAACATGATTTTTTTTTTTAATAAAAATGAAATCTCTACCTAAGCAGCGATTTTAAATTATTTTTTTTTCAAAATCGCTGCCTTGGCAGCGATTTAGTCACTTAAATCATTCCCGTCAAAAAAAGTTTCACGATTGAATATTGTAATTCACATATTGGGTATTGAGCATTTTAATATCAAATATTGTGTTGAAGTGCTATCATTTTACAATGTCAAAATGTGCTGCTGCACGTTGGTAGCATTTGTTATGCATTTATTTGTCGCATTTTTTTTAAGTTAATGGTATAATATACGTGGCATTTTATGAAACTTCTATAATTTCTGAACTTTTTATTTTATTACTATTTTATCTCTATGTTTATAATGTATATAACTTTTTAAGGATTTTTTTTTAATTTACACACATTACAATCCCACCTTCGTTTATTTAATACTTTTTCCGCCCACTATTATTTGTCATAATTTCTATTTTTAAAGTTAAATTATAAAAAATTTAATTTATATTTAATGTATTTTTTCATCATATTAATATAGAAAAAATTGCAATTTATAGTATGTTACATATAGTTTTGAATATTTAAATTTTTTGTTTAAAATATTAAATTAATATAATTTAATTTAACTTTAAAATTAATTAAATTGACTTTCGAAAAATATAACATGAAAAAATAAAAATAAAAATATAACATAACAGATAAAAATAAAAGGAGGGAGTATGAGAAAAAATATGTCGTCTATAAATAGTGACAAGTTTTAGGAGTATATTATATTATATTATATTATATTAGCTAGGTATAAGAAAAATACAGAGTACATGAAAATTATTAAAAAGAAGAGCATTTAATTGAAGAAAAAATAGTTTTTTTATCAGAGCTTTGGTTTCAACTCGTTTCCTAAGTTTATTGATTAATTATACAATGTCTGTTCGGCTATTGTAGAGACAAGTCAATAAGAACATTATTTTTGGATCGATAAAAAATTTTCAAAATGAACCTATATCTCTTTAGAAACAGTGAAATATACGCGTCTCAACATAGATAATTTTTTTGTTTTATGATGAAAACATCACTATCAAATAAAAATCTATATGTTATTTTCAGTTTTCACATGTCAAAATTTCCTTTAAAAACTCTATTCAAATTCTTATAGGTTGACTAATTCTCTGCTTCTCAAGTTGGACACTAGGTCAAATAAAGTTCCTAATCCTCTGTTGCCAAATTGCCTTTCTATATAATGAGAAATTACCAGCTCCCTTGTTCCTTATAAATATATAAATGTGTTTGTTGCTTCAAATTCACTTATTCTCCTATATCCAAAGTGAGACAATAACAAGACAAAATAGTAAGAACGTCAAGGAAAAATATAATCTTGATAGTGTCTACATTTTTTTTTATCTTTTAGACGCTCAGTACAATACAATTTGATAGTATATTAGCAAGATCTAAGAAAGAAGATGAAAAACGTTATGAAGATTGTGTTTGTGCTTTCTATCATTATGAGCATTCTATTGACACCTAGCGTTGCAAAGGGCGTGAGTGGTGGAAGCAAGGCTAGTACCGCGTCTGGTCGTACTGGAACTCCAACCACCACATGGACCACAGTACCTCGTCGTCCTAGAACCACCACCAACAGCAGCTCATCCGCCGCGTCCTCCATTGGCTGGTCGTCCTCCATGGCTATGGTTGGCGCTTCGTTAACTTATCTTACATTAGTTTACATTTAAAACTAGTGTATTAATTTAATTGGCGTAAACATTATTATATTTGTATTATTGATGTTGATTTTATATACATTCTCACTATTTAAGTTGTACACAAGTTTGGGTACAGGGTGTTGAAGTCCTACGGCTTTACTTCACTCCCCAAATTCAATGTAGAGTACTGATATTTATAAAATATATATTTTTTTACATATTTTATGTTATGATTTATTTATTTATTCTGCAAGTGACAATATGGATGTTTTCAATGGGACTAATGTAGTACAAGATATTATTAACACCTCAAATATGAGGAAAAGGGTTTCATCAGTTTTTACCATTGAAAAATAATTTTTTTTTTTTTATGATTTTGCAAAGAACTAAGGAGAGTCTGGTATTTTTATGATTCTAGGACATAAATGATAAAAGTGCACATACATTAGGAAGTAAGAATAAGTAGCTATAGTCAATCTCGTATCCTGATCCTAAAATCATGCTGAGCATACAATAGGAATCCAAATGGCAAGTTACTTCAATATAAAGTTGTTATTCTTAGCTAATTTTAGGTCCGAATAAGATCTACTTCACATTTTTAGGTCTTCTTTTTCTAAATAAGTATTGGGTCTAAAGATACCAATTTTGTATAGAACTTGTACCAACATGTCAATCATGGAATAACTAAAATGTTCAATATAATAGAAAAAATATTTTAATCAATCCATTTTCTATCCCCATATGCAAGCTTTGAAAATCAGAACATTCCAAATTGCAAACCCAATTAAGCACCACAATCTTCAAAAACCAACTCTAAGAAATTGTTTTTAAAAAAAACATATCTTGCACATCAAACTAATTATACTATATTTATGGTTAATCAGACAATAAATAAAAATGATATCAGATCCACAAATATATTATAAGAAGAAACGAATTATTACCAAATCTATGGATCTGAACCACAAAATTGATGGTAAGAACCCCTCATTTCCAAACTCGTTCGAGTCAGCAAAGTGAGAGCTTCCTAGGGAGGGTTAAAAAAATGAAAGCATAGAATTGTTAAACTAAAGATGGGTAATGAGCGACAAGGCATTGCTGGAGAGATCTATAATAACACCCATGCTTCTAGATATTCCCGTCTCCACATTGGGATTTGCCTTTTCCTCCAATTCGTCGAAACCATAGATGCATGTTTGTACATTTGTTAATACAGAACTTGTGTACGATATAGCGTTATGCAACTGAGATTCTTTATCTTCAGCACCATTTAGATGTCCTATTATTTTAACAGTCTTCCTCAGTTCGTCTTCTGCACTTTTCACAGCTTCTACGCAGTCTCTAAAAGCCACAGCTTCATATTTGGAAATTCCCTCCTTTTTTTCAAGATTAGACACAATCACCCCCGCGCTGCGTGTGCCTTTTATCGCTACTTTAAGGGCTTCTATGCAAAGTATTCTGGGGTTGTTTTTTACGGTACAAGCATACGGCATTAGTGTTTTCACACAAAGTGTAGGCTCTGTGGTTACGTTGCATTTGGTTTTGATGAAGTTTGTGTACGACTCTTTCGTACCTGTAGCTGTTTGTGTGATCAATAAAACTATTGCCAAAATGGGGAAAATCAAGGTTTTGCTATCCATTTTTTTTTTGTGTGTGTGTGTGTTGGGAATAAAGAGAAAAGATATGAAGGTGTATTTATGGAAATCAAATTGGCAACGGGAAGAATCGTATGGCCATATTAATCGTTATCACTTACTTAGACGTTCCGATAATTACGATGATCGTTATCAAGTTTTTGTATTTTTACTTGGGTTTATTTGTTATATCTTCCTTTTTTTTCTCTACTTTAGTCTATACTTTTTTTTTTGTCAAGGTCTAATGAAATTTTAACATTAGGCAACTTATTTTATTTTACAATATAATTTAATACTGAGAACCCTCATCAACAACACTAACTAAGTTCTCATACTAATTAATTCATCACCAAGCATTAAATATCTAAAATATGCTCAAAAAATTGGAAGCAAATCTAAAATAAGTTGAAATTGAAGCGGTCGCTGAACATTACGTGCACAAGTCAGCAACTTTCAATTAGGAGTTTGTTTCCTTTGAAAGTGATTTGTTGCTATTTTTACGTTTGGATTTGTTACAAAAATTGAAAGTGGTTTGTTGCTATTTCTACGTATGAATATTCGTAACACAAATTTTAGTACAAACGTTACAAATGCAATCAATGTTAATTAATTATAGCAATAAAATGGATGATAAGTAACTTTTTCAATACAAAGTGTCACTATTCATCATTCATAAATATGGTTAATGAGTGACAAGGCATTACTGCTAAGTTTAATAACAACAGCCATACTTCTACTTATAGCATCCATCACTTTTGGATTTACCTTACCCTGATCAGTTAACCCACCTGTGCACGAGTCTGCATCTGTTATAGCAGCACTTGCATATGTTTTAGCATTAGCCAACTGAAATGCCTTATCTTTATCGCCTAAATGTCCTATTGCTTCAACAGCTAGCTTCAGTTCGTACACTGCATCCTTCACATCTTCTATGCAGTCCTTAATAGCCGCGGCTTCATATCGCGTAATTCCCTTTTGTTTTTTCAGATTCAAGACAATGGCAGTGGCATCTCGTGCGCCTTTTGTGGCTACGTTAAGGGCTTCTTTGCAAAGTTTTGTGGAGTTTGTTTTAACAGAAGATGCATAGGGAATTAGTGTTTTTACGCAGAGTGAAGGGTATGTAGTGATTTTGCATTTGGTTTTGACGAAGTTTGTGTTGGAGTCTTTGGCAGCTGTGACTAGAACATGTGTTTGTGACGAGAATAGAACAATGGAAAAGAGGAGAAAAATCAAGCTTTGGCAACTAGACGCCATTATTACTTCTTTTGAGGAGAAATTGTTGTATTGTGAATATAGAGAGAAGAATTGAATATATTTATAGTCACAAATTGGCAGAAGGAAAAATCTTTCTTAATTGCTCAAGTTGATAATATTTTATTTTCTTTTTTTGATCTGTATAAATAAAAGAGTGCCTCAACATCCTACGTTCAGGACCACAAGACATGTTAATGTATATTCTTAATTTTACATAATACATAAATATACTATTTAAGTTAGTTTCATCTGATATCTATGTCCTACTACTTTACTTGTGCACAAATAAAAACTAAAAATTTGTAGAAAATTAAGCAAATGGATACAAATGTTTTATGTGGCTTAGTACATGTAGAACGTCACATAGACATAAATGCGCTATTTATTTAATTTTATATAAATTTACAAGCTTATTAGTAAGCACTCCAAATTGAAGGACATACATGCTAGATGAATCCAAGTTAAAATTATATCTTTTTAATTAGACTTTAATTGAGACGAAATGAGTATAATATAGCAATAAAATTGATTTAGAAAATGAGTTGTGAATGTAGGCGTATCAGCTTATCTCGCGCCGTCACCAATGCAGCAATCACATGGTAATTGAAGTATCTGGAGATCGTCGGCAGAGTCAACTTATCAACGTGTGAGATCCAAGGTGGATCTATGACTTGTAATTTAAGTACATCAATTACACCTACAATATTCAACTATTAAATTGCACATTTTTTAGGTCCAGTAGTTCATAATTTTTTTTCAAGGTACGTCTGGCCAATACTTATAAAGTCCATTATTCAACTAAAGATATTAATGCGTGAACATGGCTAGAAATTGATCAAAAAATGAGAAGCACAAAACACTGCAGAAGAGAAGGCGATGTCTCTAGTGGACAATTACTTGCCGAAAACGTTTGCATTGATGCGTGTTTTCCTTTATGTTGAACATCAACCTCAATAATTATGCCTTAGGTAACACGTTTTGTAACTAGGAAGCTTACGTTCTAATGAAATTTCATTTTGAGTTATGAATAGTAATTTAAACATGTTATTCTACGATCAATAGGGAGAAAAATTCAAAATTGAGCGGAGCTCAAGTTGAAGCGCGACAAAAATTATCTAAATTAGATATTTTTAACATTTTACTCCATTAAGAGAAAACAAATAATAATACGTGCGTGATCATAAGTAGAATTCATCCTACTAAAATACATAGAGCTCAAACTTTCTGTTCTCCTAAATAAAAAAGTAGAGGACATTGCTTCCTAGGCAAATCGAGGATCAATGGATTGATGAATTCTTTAAGGAAAAAGGTAAAAGCTTCTTAAGGGACACTTTACGTGTAAGAATTACTCCTAAGTTCATTATTTAGAGTATGTTTTAAGCTAATTTTATCTATTTTGGTATTGTTTGGTGCTCGTGGTGAAAATTTGTCACGCATGTGAGCGATTCATTTTTTATATTACAAAATTTGCTGATTAGCAAAGCAATAAGAATGAACTTGAGAACTTCTGTCTAAAAACAGATCAAACCCGTAGAGTATAGAGTAAGATGTAAAAAAAAAGTTGATTGTTAAGAACATTTTATCTTTTAATGTGGAACTTTGCAGTGAGATTCAAATTTAGTCGAGATTTGTATCGTGATATGAAGAAGGTTAGAAAATGGTAAAACAAAAGGAATATTCCTATACAGCTGTCCATTAAGGATTGGCTAATAATAACAAATTTAGCTTGCTATACAGTGCTCCTTTTATATTCTCTCATGTTACAAAATCTGAGGACTTCCATTGGAAATTATTGCTTTCGACTGTGATTCATTACTAATTGGGCCATTATTTGCAACTGGGCTAATTTTTCCTGTATGGTACCAGGTGTTAATATATTGGGCTTTGTGTCTGAGATCCAAACATGGCTATCCGACGCTTAGGACCAACATTATTTTATGAGCAAATAACACAAATCTCAATAGTTTGAGATCTAATGACGTATTCTAAATTTAGTTTTTAAAATTATCTTCTGTATCACATTTACTTCGTCAACCATATGTATATGACATACTCAGATAGATACATGCGGATCAATTTAAATGTAATTTGTGTCATGTCAGATATACTATATTTAAGCGCGATAAGCATGTATCTAGGATATACGCACTCACTATCTGAACTCTCTCATTTCTCTTCTCTTAGTCGCCTCTCTCCCTAATTATTTCCATTCCAAAATGTATCCGCTATCAAAAATACTATCTGACTTGAAATCGGTTACCATATTATTAATTAGTGAAATATTATGTTATTATTTCAAACTCTGAAGTATTTAAGTACTAATATTTATGATATGAATTTTGTATAATTTGATAGTTTTTAGTTAAAACTTTGGTCCAAAAATAGTATTATCATTACTTACTTGAGTTAAACGGTGGCATCCGCAATTTCTTTTTCTTTTTTTTTCCTCATAAAATCGGAAAATACAGAAGAGAAACTCTGTTTTGTTTTCCAAAATGGTAAAAGGAAAGTATGTGAATATTGAATTTTTTTAATATACTAAGAAGATGAAAGATTTTTTGTAAGAGCTAAAGCATTACTAGTTAACTGTGCTACATTAACAATATAATTTCTAATAGTAGCTTTAACTTTGCTATTCATAGCAGAATTGTCTTGAAATCCATCCATACAAGTATCTTCATCTGTCAATGCAGCACTTACCCATGTCATTACATTCCCCATTTTCTCTTCAAAATCTGGTCCATTCAAATTCTTCATTTCCAACAGTGATTTTTGTAGCTCATCAACAGAGTCTTCCATGTTTTCCACACAGTCCGTTAAAGCATGTGCTTCTGCTGGACCTAAGCTTTCCTCTTTAGACATCTTCGCGATTTTGTTGGTGGTTGATTTAGCTCCCTTTAAGCTCACTGTGAGTGCAGAGTTGGCTAATTCCATTGGGCTTGTTTGGATGGAGTTTGAATAAGGTGAGAGTGTTTCGATGCATAATTTGGGGTATAATGTAGTGCCACAAGAGGTTTTGATGAAATCAGAGGTGTTGAGTTTGGATTTGTTGGTAAGCTCTCTTGTTGCTGTTGATGAGCATAGCAATGTGGATGTTATTACAATGAAATAGAAAAATGAAATGTGAAATGTGGAGAGGCTATGGCAATTTGAAGTAGAGGAATTCATTATCAAATGATGGGGGGAAAAGGATTGGGGATGAATGGTTGGGAAAAAGTCCTTGCACTTTCTTATAAGGATGCAATGTTCCTTGCATTATTTTTAGGATAAATAACAATAAATCTACCCTTTAATTAAGTTCTCGAATTAAATTAATATACCTCGCGTATCGAATTAATATATCATATATAAAATGTACATCAAATTAGTATCATGTATAAAATATAATGTATCTTACTTAATAATTAATTGTATCTCGCGCATCATTTTTGTCGTTATAAACTTATAAGGGACAAATGATAATTTTGCCTTAAAAGTATGTGATTTTCTCTTTTGCTTATTTTTAATATACTACTAATTCGATCTCAATTTATATTACTCACTTTCATTTTAATTACTGTTAAAAAAAATATTTCTAATTCACTTTAAAATTTATATTTTATACTTAATGATATAAATATTTATATTTTATTTTAAATAATAACTTTTTAAATAAAATAATTCTTTCTTAAATATTGTTCAAAACATAAATTAAGACGGAGAAATAATTATTGCGCATATCCACTCATTTTATAATCACGGGTTTGTGTTCGACATATTGATTGTTCCACGAAAAAGGAAAAAGCAAAAGGTGGACAGCACGGGAGTACATGAATTGGACGGCATTAAATTAATTAGGTGTATTCTGAATATCTCATCCTACATTTACATTCATAGAATAATGAAAAAAAAAACAGAAAGTGAAGGAAATGCGCAATAAATATAACTAGCAGTATGAATAGATTTCTGGCTGAAAGCGTAGCGGATTGTTCACATTATTGACGGAATAATAAATATTATTTTATAACTATTTTTAATATAATCGACAACTAACGAAATTAAAGGTGTATTGGATGGAGAAACTATTGGTTTGGCTTTAAGTTAGGTGTAGAGTATGTGGTAGTCTGTGTGTGCGAATGCGGAGGGATCCAATCTGAACATGAAGTTACATGGTAGCATCTGAACGGTTAAGAGAGCAGTAAAAGGTGGGGACATCGATAGTAATAAAATCCGTGAGGTGCAAAATTTGATTCTCATTTCAATTAGCTATTTTCATACTTACAGTACACATGTCTTAAAACATGTTTTTTTATATTTCATTAAGTTAGTATGTTTCGTACGAAGGAAAATATTTTTCTATTTTTTTTATATTTTTATTAAAATTAAAGAAAATGACTTTCCTTCTAAAATTAAGGAAAATATTTTTCAAAATTCTCCTTCTATTTCAAATTACATTTTCTTTGTGAAAAACATCAAAATTATTTTTTTCACCCGATTCCTGACTCTCCCCACCCCACCGGCCAGCCCCCCCAACCCCACCCCCTCCCCAAAAAATTAAAACTTCAAAAAAATTATTTTTAAAGTCCAATGCCCCCCACCCCCCCCCCCCCCACAACAACCAAAAACATTAATTTTGTTTTTCAAAAATAATATCAACTCCAATTTTTTATCTTTTCACTCCTACCTCTCCCAAAAATAATATCAACTCCAATTTTTTATCTTTTCACTCCTACCTCTCCCCCTGCCCTCACCTACTTAACCCATCACCACTCCAAAAAAATAATAATTTTATTTTTAAAGAATTATTTTTAATTTCATAAATTATTTTTTAATCTAGTAAAATAAAATATGTCTCTCAAAAATTTGTTTCATTCATAAATCTAACACAAAAATCATTTTCAAAAAATATTTTCGACTAACCAACCAAATATGAGAAAATAAGTTCAAAATCTACTTGTTTTTAGGAAATATTTTCCATGGAAAACATTTTCCTCCATACCAAACACACCCTAAATGAACATAAATTATTTTAGTTTTTATTTAACGTTCATCAAAAATATATTTTCAAAGATAATAACTTTCATAATATAAAATAGAAAGAACGATATCATTTATACATAATTTTATAAAATAATAAATAATAAGGAATATTCATTTTTAGAATATGACACCTAAATAAAAACGAAAAAAAAATTATATTTTTTATTTATCGAATAAATGATTTTTAATACTTTATCGTAAAACTTAGTAGAGGAGAAACATTTTATGCGAATTAGCATAAGAAGTATCAAGAGCCGGACAAGACAGTAGAAGGATACCAAATTTCATGCGAGTTACCAAACGAATAAAATATTAACGAAGTTTATTCCCTTTATATTATATATACTCTATAGTTTTCGAATCAAATAATATGAATGTAATAAAATATAGCCAGTGCCCAAGTAGATGGAAAACCAAATTTTTTTTTATCGATAATTGCACATGCCCCTCTATCAAAAGTGGCACAAGTTTCAAGTTCAACTGAAAAAAGAACATCCATTTTATTTATTTATTTGTAAATTATAGATCCGTTCAACACTCTGAGCTGATTAAATTAAAGAGCTCTAATTGTTTTATCTGCCACTAGGGGCATTTATATATTAATATTATATAGACGGCCGACGTGTATTCTTCTTTATTTCGTTGGAGTATTATTATTTTTATAAGAAGCAGCTATATTAACTTTAGCAGCCACTTTAGTTTACCGATTAAGTCATTTGAATGCCTAATTAAGTAACTAACAAACAATTTGAAACTAGCCAAGTTTGAACTTGTAGTCAAAGACTGTACATGGACCCTCACTGTCACTGTCATTTACTCCATGTTCTACTATCTTTCAACCACATTCCCACTGAACATAATAAGGGAAAACACATCAAATATTGGATCCCTTTACTACAAGAAAAAACGATAAAATATTGGATCTCCTTTACTATACTACTTTAAAAAAAAAGGGGGGGTTATTGCGAGTGAAAATATTTTTAGTGAGTGAAAAAATAATAGATCAAAACTCCTTTCACCGTTGATTATAAAAAAATTTGATATTAAGAATTCAATTGTTAAAAGTCTTTTAATAACGCTATAAATTCTGATTATTATATAAACATTGAATTTTTTTTTTCTTTCACTAATTTGTTGATTGATCATAAATAAATTTTGATGACAAAAACTATTTTTGTTGTTATAAGTGATTTTAGCCGTCAAGATTCTCTTTATTAACTATATATAACTTTTAATGATGGAATTTTCTTTCGCTAATGCTTGCCCATTTAACTGTTTGAGATCTTGTCACCAAAGAGTTATATTTTCCTTCGCAAATAAGGAGTGAACTAGCAACGAACAAGAAGTTGAGTGTAACAAGTTTGAAATTGTAGTCAAAAGGCCGCACAAGGACCTTCAATGTCACTGTCACTTAGTCCATTTTCTAGTATCTTTCAGTTGTAACACCACAATTGCTGTGACATAGTTTATTTTATGTTAAAACTTCAGTTATTGTTGAAAAATTTAAGTGTAAAAATTAGGGTTGCGTTACTACAAATTCATTGATTTTGGCACAAGAATGCAACATTTTCATACCAATACAACTTGTTAGACCAAAATTGGAATAAAAAACCATCTTCTTCAAAATTAAAACCCCCAATCGTGACCCAATCGTTATCCTCTTTTTTTTTTTAAAAAAAAATATTGTTGAGTATAGTTTATCCACAAGGCTTCTTGGCTGACAGAGCAAGCCCTTCAATGGTCCCCAATTTAACTTTCCAAAATCCAAAGTAGTCTCCACTCTTTTGCAAATTGCAATGCTTTTCATAAGTCATAACATCATCCTATTCCTAGTGGCTTGGACTATTACAATTTGGGAGTTTGAGTTGTACACTAGTGAATGGGGATTTTCCTAAAAAAAGTATAAATTAAAACTGAATAAAGAAAAAATAGTGAGAAGATCAAGATAATCCAACCATATTCCTCTATATTGAGTCCATTTGTCTAGTATTTAAATTTATGTCTGGAGCCTAAAGGACAAAAAAAATGATAAAAATTTTAAGAAGATATATCAATTTTTTTTAGCCAAAGAGATAAATCGCTAGTGAAATTAAGATTTTGCTTTGACGTTGTTATTTCGTTAAACAAGCAAAATCGCTAACCTATCAGTAATTTGTTCAAAAAAAATTCCACTTTAAAAAAAATCATTGTCCAATGTCCATGCAACGTTTTTGGAAAGATGTTTTCTAAAATACTAAAAAAAAAATTAATGGTGCAATTTCGGCGGAAAAGAGTTTATCTTTTTAAACCTTTTAAGTGTTTTTTATAAGTGAATAGATAATTATAAATTACTTTCATTAATTTACTATTTTTTTTATTAGTAATGTGAATAGCCAGGCTACTACAAAGAAAAAACAAGTTTCACCAATTGCAGCGATTTTGTATTTTTTTGAATTTTTTTTTCGGAAAACGCTATACGAATATTGATTTAGTTTTAAATATTGAAATTTTTTTAGATAAAATCACTGGTAGGTCAACGTCAAATCAAAATCGCTACTCCGCTAGCGATTTTGCCCCTTTGATTAAAATTATTTTTGATATGCCCTTTTAAAACTTTTATCAAAAGTTTTTACTCTTTAAGCTTTGGACTCATTTAATTTAAAATGTACCTTCTTGTTTTTAGTCAAAATTAGAGCTATAACAATATCCTTGATTGAAATACCCCTTGGGTTTTCCTTTCAAAGAGCATACTCCCTCTTAAATAAACCTATTAGTATTTTAGTTGTGAAGTACACACTTCACTTGAACTTATATTGTAATCTTCTTTTATCTTTCATAAAATTCTATACACCTTTGAGTGAACAATTGTAAAGAAAAGAGAAAGAAAGATATGAGTGTAGGTTATACAGGTAGAGGTTGTGTCATAGAAGAATGTCTGATTTGCACATCAGACGGGCTCTTAATTGTAACATTCTGTAACATCCAAGTTCTCAACAAGCTCTTAAAGAAACCCTTGTAACCCAAGGAGACTGGACTAGACAACACTTCGATGATCCGAACCAGTATACAAAACACTCTGTTATTTACTTATTGCAAGTTATCATTACTGTTTGTCTGTTTTACTAACGTGCAGGTGAGTCGACTGACCAGAGTAGAAAGTCGACTGAAGGGAATTTTAATTCACCCCTCCCCCCCTCTTGACTTTCAAATACAACTATTTTGGGGCGTTTCTTTAAAAAAACAAAACACGCAAAATATGATATGATTAGTGACACTAAAATATCCAACAAAATAATAATACTGAAATCATGTAAAACAAATACTAAATGATCGTAAATTTAAAGTACTAAATCATGCTAAAATAAATTGAGTAAATATTAGTAACATGGATAAATATTAAAGGAAATTAAAATTAGATTATGTATTTTAATTGTCTAAACCAATATAAAACTAAAGAACAAATATTCAATATTATTGTTGAATTGATTTTCTTTTTGCATAAGTATTATTTTTATCTTGATTTAAACTTTATTATAATTACCAGCATTTATGGATTATAATTTTTATTAGATCATTCAGAATTCTAAATCAAAAACTTGAAATAGTATATTAAAGGATAAAACTATGAAAAAGCATAAGAAATATTTAAAAATTATATCAAAATAAATATTTTTATGTATCATGTCGGGTTGGTTTGGTTTCGGATTGATTTTTTTAGTTAAAATCTATTGAAATGTAGATATGATGAGGTGTAGTTTTATGATTGGTTAGTTCAAATGTTAGTTAGAGTCACATGTGTTAGTTAGAGTCACATGTGTTAGTTAGAGTCACATGCTTGTCACATGGTTTCCATTTTTTCAGTTAGGTTGTTGTTATGCTATCAAAGTTAGTTGAAGAGTTAGTTGCTAACAAACTAACAGCAATTGTAATCCTCTATATATAGATGATGAAGTATAGATGTACATTGATGATCAATAAGAAAAAGAGGAAGATAGATAGCTTCCAAATTCTCCCTACAAACTCTGTCTCTGTGTTTCTTCTTTCTTCTTCTTCTGTTTCTGTTTTTGTATGAATTCAGAAACTTAATATGGTATCAGAGCATCGATCAAAGGATTTCTAAAGGTTTGAATCTATAATTTCTGCAATTGTTGAAGCTGCAACAATGGTGGAATCACAGAGTACAGAGGTAGAAGATAATCCCCAGTCGAATCACAACCATCCACTTCATCTTCAAGCATCAGACATACCTGGTGTTGCCTTGATTCCTATGAAGCTCACAGGACCAGAGAATTATGGTGTGTGGAGCAGATCTATGCGATTAGCACTACTAGTCAAAAATAAACTTGGATTTGTTGATGGCACATGTGTTAAGAATTCGTACAAGGGAGATCTGGCAGTTAGATGGGAAAGATGTGATGCAGTTGTTTTATCCTAGATAAGTGCAGCAGTTGCACCAGAGTTGATGACTAGCATAGTATATGCTTCTAGTTCGAAGAAGATTTGGAATGACTTCAAGGAAAGGTTTGATAAATCCAATTTGACAAGGATTAGTATATTGTCACAAGGAACTGATTCTGTAACAGCCTATTATTCCAAAATGAGAGATCTATGGGATGAGATGGATGTAATGATACCTTCTCCGTCTTGTGATTGTGTTGAATCAAGTTCACATGCTGAACATGTCAAACAACACAGGTTATTGCAATTTTTGATAGGTTTGAATGAGAGTTATGCTCAAGTGAGGAGTTCTATTTTGTTGAGTCCATCTATTCCAAGTGTAAACCAAGCCTATGCAATGGCTATACAAGAAGAAAGTCAAAGGAAGCTAGGACAAACAGAAGGAGGTAAAGAACCTCTCACAATGATGGCAGGAAGAAGTGCTCAACCACATAATTTCGATAATCAAATGAACAATAATCAGAGGAACAATAATCAGATGAACAACAACAGTTTGCATACTAAGAAGACTTAGGGTCAGAATTCACAAGGTAGAAGGATGGGATTAGTGTGTGATCACTGTGGTTACAAAGGTCATACTAGAGAAAGTTGTTATAGAATTGTAGGATTTCCAGCAGACTTTAAGAGTAAGAGAAAGGGATCTGGATCTGTGAATGAAGCATATGCAAATAATTTCACTTCTGAGTCATCTGGATCAGCATCAAACTTCTATTTTCCAGGAGGCTATTTCACAAAGGAACAATATGAGCAAGTTACTAAGATGTTATCTCCTTCTTCACCTACAGGAATCTACAGGGTTGAGGCTAATGCTGCAGGTATGAATCCTTTAACTGTTAATGATAGTGGAAATGCAGTGGGATGGATTATTGATTCAGGAGCAACACATCACATTACATGCTGTGAAAGTATATTGAGTGAATGTAGAAAATTATCAGAATCCAGTTGTGATAAAGTGCAAGTGCCAACAGGAAATAAAATTCATGTGAAACATATAGGAGATGCAGTGATTTTGGGGAACTGCAAGTTAAGAAATATTTTGCATGTACCAGATTTTAGGTTCAACCTGCTGTCAGTTTCTAAACTAACCAAGGATCTAAAATGTAGTGTGCCTTTCTATCCTGATTTATGTGTAATGCAGGCTCTCTTTACTGGAGAGGTGATTGGGATTGGTAAGGAGAATGATGGCTTGTATATTCTCAGACAAGAAGTAATACCTACTGTTGGAGCAGCACTCAAAAGCAAGAACTCAGAAGAACATAAACTTTGGCACCTTAGACTAGGACATCCCTCTTTGAAAGTATTGCAACATCTACATATATTGAAAAATAAACTGGTTGAGACCGTACATGAAGATTGTTTGATTTGTCCTTTGGCAAAACAATGTAGACTCAAATTTCCTTCTAGTGTTACTCATAGTAATAAGATGTTTCAGTTGGTACATCTAGATGTTTGGGGACCTCATAAAGATCCAACTTATGATAGAAAACAATATTTTCTGACTATAGTTGATGACTTTAGCAGATTTACATGGGTTTCTTTACTGCAAACTAATAAGGATGTAGTAGTTGTTTTGAGAAGTTTTATAGCAATGGTTTGTAATCAGTTTGATTGTGCAATAAAGGTGTTGAGATCTGACAATGGAACTTAGTTCTTTAACAGTCAAGTAAATGAATTGTTATCCTCTTTTGGTATTATACATCAAAGTAGTTGTGAATATACTCCACAACAAAATGGTATTGTTGAAAGGAAACATAGGCATATACTTGACACAAGTAGAGTTTTAAAATTGCAGTCTCATGTTCCTAGTAGATTCTGGGGTGAATGTGTACAAACAACAGTCTACTTAATTAACAGGTTACCTACTGGTGTGTTGAATGGACAATCTCCTTATGAAAGGTTGTTTGGAAAGGCTCCAAAACTAGAACATATAAGAGTATTTGGATGTTTGTGGTTTGCTACTACATTACCAAGAGGTGGAAAGTTTGAAGCCAGAGCTAAGAAAGCTATTTTAATGGGTTTTTCTTCCACACAAAAAGGATATAAGCTATATGATCTCGAGGCAAAAATTATGTTCATTAGCAGGGTTGTTGTATTCAGAGACAGTGTTTCCTTTTAAGCTCATGCAATCTACTGATACAGGTCCTTGTCCTTTGTTATCACCTTTTCTTGATAATGTAGATGATGCTAGTAATGATGTAAACTTGGACCCATGTCATACTCATATTGAAGAGATTTCCAATAACTCTGATGGTCTGCAAGAAAGTTCTCATAGTTCAAATAATGAACCTCCAATTAATGTGGGATCCAGAAAGACTACCAGAACAATCAAGCCTCCTGTGTGGATCAAAGATTATGTTGTGCCTCATAAATCTAGTCCTCATTCAATCACTAATCATGTCTGTTATGACAATGTCTCCTCAGGATATCAATCTTATTTGCAAGTTTTTTCAGTAGTTGTAGAACCTCAATCTTTTCATGAAGCATCACAAAATAAAAAGTGGATTGATGCTATGAAACAAGAGATTAAGGCTTTAGAAGATAATAACACCTGGACAATTGTAGACTTACCTCCAGGTGAGAAAGCAATTGGATCAAAATGGGTATACAAGATAAAGTATCAGTCTAATGGTGATGTCGATAGATACAAAGCTCGACTAGTTGCCAAAGGTTATACTCAAAGGGAAGGACTTGACTATCATGACACTTTTTCTCCAGTTGTAAAGATGGTTACCATTAGAACTGTTCTTAGCCTGGCAGCTTCTTGTGGTTGGGATTTATCTCAATTGGATGTTAACAATGCCTTCTTGCAAGGTGATTTAGTTGAAGACATATACATGGCACTTCCTCTAGGCTTCCAAGGACAGGGGATATCTAAGGTCTGCAAGCTGAGGAAGTCACTTTATGGTCTTAAGCAGGCTTCTAGACAATGGAATATTAAATTCAGTGAAGCATTGTTGGAAGCAGGATACTCTCAAAGTGTTCATGATCACTCTCTTTTTATTAGAAAGGAAGGAACTAAAATGGTTGTGATTTTAGTATATGTTGATGATCTTTTGATAACTGGAAATAGCTCCAGAATGGTTCAAGAAGCCAAAGACACATTACACAAAAATTTTAAAATGAAAGACTTGGGAAGCCTCAGATATTTTTTGGGGATTGAAATCTTGAAGTCCAAAGAAGGGTTGTTATTGAATCAAAGAAAGTATGCTTTACGATTAATCTCAGAGACTGGATTGAGTGGAGCAAAGACTGTAAGCACTCCTTTAGAATTCAATCAAAAATTGAGTAGTGTGGAGTTTGATCAATACACTGGTGGATCTGATGATGCAGAGCTAGAAGATGTTACAGCATACCAAAGATTGATTGGTAAATTGCTGTATTTGACAATTACCAGATCTGACATTTGTTTCAGTGTTCAAGTTCCGAGTCAGTTCATGCAACATCCTAAGGTTTCACATTGGGAGGCAACATTAAGGGTAGTAAGATATATTAAAAAATCCCCAGGACTTGGAGTAATGCTTAGAAGAGGTACTGGTGTTACAAAACTCACAGGATACTGTGACTCAGATTGGGTATCATGTCCAAACACAAGAAGGTCAATAACTGGATACATGGTAAAACTTGGAGATTCTCTTATTTCGTGGAAATCAAAGAAGCAGCAGACAGTAAGTAGGAGTTCAGCTGAGGCAGAGTATAGAAGTCTGGCAGCTCTTGTTGCTGAACTGATCTGGTTAGCAGGATTACTTAATGAATTACACTTTCCATGTGCCACTCCAATTTCAGTGTTCACAGACAGCAAATCAGCCATTCAAATAGCTGAAAATCAGTTTTCATGAGCGTACGAAACACATCGATATCGATTGTCATTTCATTCGAGAAAAGGTGAAGTCGGGGTTCATTGATATTCAATATTTGTCCACTACCATGCAGCCTGCTGATATTTTGACAAAAGGGCTAGAGGCCAATCAACATCATCTCCTCATGACCAAACTTGGTGTGCTAGATGTCTTTCACCCTTCAGTTTGAGGGGGTGTATTGAAATGTAGATATGATGAGGTGTAGTTTTATGATTGGTTAGTTCAAATGTTAGTTAGAGTCACATGTGTTAGTTAGAGTCACATGCTTGTCACATGGTTTCCATTTTTCAGTTAGGTTGTTGTTATGCTATCAAAGTTAGTTGAAGAGTTAGTTGCTAACAAACTAACAACAATTGTAATCCTCTATATATAGATGATGAAGTATAGATGTACATTGGTGATCAATAAGAAAAAGAGGAAGATAGATAGCTTCCAAATTCTCCCTACAAACTCTGTCTCTGTGTTTCTTCTTTCTTCTTCTTCTGTTTCTGTTTTTGTATGAATTCAGAAACTATTAAAATCAAACCAATTCAAATATAATAAAAAAAAAAATTCAACACCAAATTAAGTCAAACCACTCAAATTTGACTCGATTTGTAATTTGGTTTGGTTTTTGATTTAATTCTGTACCCTAATAATAATCTGTGATGCAATGCATCGAGGTATCATTCAGAACGATTGTTGTATCTACTCTCACTATCATTAAACTTTGTGTATATGCGTCAAGATATAAATCTATTCCTGACCAATTAGAAAAATCAATCGTTATTTTATAAAAAGCATGACCTTAAATCGAATTTTATTTCTTTTATATGCATCAATCATCCAAGAAGACCAATCTAACCTTCGTCTGGTTAGGCAACATACCAAATCATATAACGTATCATATATTTTTTTGAAGTTGTGACATTTTTTCCCAAATACACTTTCTTCATCCCAAGTATAGCATCATTATATTAAATGAAATATGTGACAATAATTTTCAATAATGACATGTTAAACATGCTATGAGCTTTTAAACGACCAACAAGATATATTTTAGATATATAGAAATCTTAATATATCATGAATGTCCCATTTAATTTGTAAGATGAACTTATTAACTCATTTTCATAATTAACACTAAGCAATTTATACGAAATTAAGCAATAACTTTAATTTTGGAGAGAATTATAGACAAATTAATTGTCCCTCACATGCATATATAATTTTATTCAAACCTTTGCTTCAAATTGTTTTTATGATGTGGTATGACAACCTAATAAAGTAGTTCAAAGATCAACATACTTCAAGTCGATCTTATATAAAGTAATTTGTCTTGACAGTTCCAATTGACAACCAACCGTTTCCAACATATTCAAGCTATATTTATTAATAACGCAATCACCAAAGAAATTAATGTTACGAAGCCAAATTAAGTGACGACTTCTGAAAATTATAGTTTTAAATAATTTTCACAGTGTTTTCCTTAAAAAAGCCCTCAAAACTCAATAGTTACATCAATATTGAAATAAATATCTTAACCTTAATTTTCGGCTCCCATATAATTAGGCTGACAGTTCAACAATCGAAACAAAAAGACATAAAAATAAAAAGAAAAAGAAAAAATTGACCTAGAAAAATCTCCAGCCATTTCCTTTCTTATATAACATCACAATGAACATTTGAAGGTGTTAATTTAGGAAAAATCGACATCATTTTTCTTTTCTTTGTTTACGAAATGTTAATGAACACTTGTCACTTGAAGATATATGTGTCATTTGAGAGTCATTTACTAATTAAGATTTAAACTCCTACCAAGTACATTATACATTATACATACTGTTAAGAATATTACTTTTGGGCGATATGTTTTCGTCATTGATGTGTGATTAGTCTCTTCATTATATTTTAATATTTCCATTCAAATAAGAAAAAACAGTTTAACCTTTTACACACTTTTAGGATATTTTTCATTTTGTGCAGGTAGTTATTCATAGTGTGGAGCTACGGAGAAAAGGGGATTCAATTAAATCGTCATTTCGTTAAAACATTAATTAGTAGTACTATATAAATAAGAGTGTTCTTTAAAAAATTACTATATTCTCCTTTTGTTCTATTTTGTTGACACATTTTTCTTTTTAGCTTGTCAAAAAAAAAGAACGACATGATTCGTAGGTATATAAATATATAAGATTGATCATAAGTTCAAATGTACTATATTTAGGCTAGACCTACTTATTATTTTCTGTTTATTAATGTTTATTATAGTACTTCATACACCTTTTTATAGTCCTACACAAGACCTTTTAGGAAAGTTTAAATCTCTTCATATTTTGGTTATAACACTGTGCTCAATTAAACAAAGAATTTTTTCAATAAGGTGCAGATAAATGAGATTTAAATTTTGTTTTAGCGTCACAAATTAAATGTTGTTGGAAAAAAATATTAATATTGATATTAGATTGGAATTATAAAGTAATAAATAACTTATTACAAAACACTGTGTTGTGGCAAATCACTATCTTGAAAGCAATTTCGGTTCGATTCCGATGTAAATCGTTTGTAGCCGGTCGCTCCGCAAGGTTCCACAGTTACTCTCAAACACGTGCACTCATGACTGAAAGTTTGAAATTGCACAAAAATAACTTCCCAAAAAATCTACAATAGGATGAAGGATTATTCAAGCCAATAAAAGAAAATTGTTGAGGGTGAGTAAATGAAAGATAGAACTTGCTTCTGTTTTTTCTCTGTTTTTAGCTCCAAATTGATACTCCTTAAATAGGAAAATCATTTACGTTTCATTCATCAAAAGAATGTAAGAAACTAACGTATAATTAATGTAATGGAACATAACTCTTACTTCAATGACAAATTTGTCATAATATAAAAGTAACTTCAAGTTCAAATAAATGTGATCCATTAATGAGAAAGTAACTTTCCTATTTCACATATATTAACGACTTAGCAATGTTCACATAGATAAATTATGGAAAGTTAAAAGGTATAATTTATCCTTTGCATTAAAAAAAAAAGGAATATTATCCACAAATGTAATATTCTATTTTATTTTAAATCCTTTCTTTATAAAGTTTAATCTAACTTTGTGAATAAATTATTTTATTATCTATCTATAAGATGTGAGAGTAATTCAAAAAAGATATGTACTATTTTCATTATAACACAAGAATTGTTATAATAATGCGCATTCCTATCACGAATCTTCAAATAAGATATTCATGCATGGCCATGCCATAAATAAAATCATTATATAAAAAGTTCCTACCAATAGAAGCATCAAGGTTCGAAATTAAACAAATTCAGATACAGTAAACTCATGTCAAAACAAAAAATATTATAATAATAAGAAAAAAATGAACTCAAAAGTTAAATAAGTCCAAATACAATATAACTAATTCCTAAAGTAAATTTCTATGGTTAGAGATTCACATTACAAAATTAAATTTTAATTATTTATTTTAGCCTATATATTATCTTAGAAAAAATAGAGAGAGGAGAAATAAAAAAGAAGTCCAATTCATATAAAAATTCAAATTTAAAATCAAAAATCTAAAAGTCAAATAAAAAAATTCAGCAAAACAGAATTCCCGTTTCAGATTCGTGTTTTCACAAAACTGCGCCCACCCCTACGACCTACGAGGAATGTCCTTGGCAGCACGCCAGAAACACATACATGAACTCGCATAATAATTAACCGTTTTTTAATTTAATAATATCCACAAAACTTTTCTATAAATTCAGAATATCCCCCATCCCTAAATTCACTATCACTCAATTAATTATTTTAGTTATCGAGAGATGACAGGTGGTTATTTTTTCACATATTTTCTTATTTCAATTGCGTTGATAATTTCTTCTAATAATTCGAATTCAGTTTCCGCCGCAAGGCCAGCATCGGGAGAAACAAATACGGATTTTATCCGAACCTCCTGTAAGTCAACCACTTATCCAACTCTGTGTTTCAGTTCATTATCAAGCCGTTCAAGTGCTATTGGAGTTTCTCCACAACTTTTAGCCCATGAATCTCTCTCCGTTAGCCTCGAAACAGCTCAATCAACCTCCGCTATGATGTTGAAATTGTCACACAGTCAAGGCATGACGCCCAGAGAAGTAGGCGCCATGCGTGACTGTGTGGAGGAATTAAGTGACGCAGTGAGTGGAATTAAAAAATCTTTAGGGGAAATGAAGGAATTGAAGGGAAAAGATTTTGATTTGAAAATGAATGATATTCAAACATGGGTGAGTGCCGCCTTGACGGACGAGGACACGTGTACCGAAGGGTTCGCCGGAAAAGTGATGAACGGGAAAGTTAAAACAGTGGTGAGAGGAAAAATACTTGAAGTTGCTCAGTTGACAAGTAATGCTTTGGCTTTGATCAACAGACTTGCTGCCATTCACGGATAAAGTGTAATTAATTTATTAATTAAAACATACAATTAAGTATATAAATATGCATATATGTTTTTAATGAATCTTCATTTAGAAAAAAGTTTAGTTAATTCATGATCAGTTCATTGCTGTAATGTATTAGATAAGATGTTTTGTTTGTGATGAATTTCTTAAATGAAAATGTTCCGTTGCATGCATAAGTGTACTGGGTAGTAATCCTCCAATTGAGTATAATTAATTCTTAACTATTTTGAATTAAAATATTTTAGTGTGATTAGGGACGGAATTTAAGTAAACAGGAAGGGTTTTTAAATCATGTTATTTCAAATTAAAATAAATTAACTTTTATAATCTTAATCATGCCAAGCAAAATATTGAAATTTAAAACTTATCATAAAAGAATAAAAGAAAAATATTAATATTTGAACTGAGGGAGTACTGGTTTGAGCGTAAAATATCTGTTTTTGCTAAAGCTTTGTAAATACTTTTTAATTATCTTCAATCTCTATTTATTATAAGTTATATTCCTTTTATTTTAATTTATTTACTTTAATATTCCTTTTAGCTCATTTAAAAAGAATGTTTCTTATTCTTTTGTTAACTTTATAATTTTAATTTTTCATATAAAAAGTTTAAAATCATAAAATAAAAAAACATTTTGATATATTCATTTAAATTTTAATTTTAATTTTTTAAAAAACTTTCTTAATCCATATAATGAAAAAATAATAATTAAGGGGTAAATTACGTGTACGAGTAAACATGTGTACGAGTAAACATATACTAGTTAATTAATTTTTTTTATATATAAGCAAACATATAGAAAACATAGCTATATTTTGTCTTACTTCCAATTCACAACCTATTTTTATCTATAATTATGTGGCTCAACTTTTTTGTTTTGTATAATTCACACGCTTGTATTATAATTTGTATAACTTTTGTATTATTGAGAATTTGTATAACTGTTCACACTTCTGATATTTGTAATTATATAAATTTGTTCTTTCGATTTTTATAAAAATAACTGAATTATACAAGTGTATCCGTAAATAATATAAACCTGCGAATGATACAAATTCGCGAATTATACAAACGAGACAATTTAAACTGTAGCTACAATCGTAAATTAAATATGCAAACTACAACTGTGAAACATAATTAAGTTTGTTATAATGACTTTTTGAGAAATGATAGAATATGATAGAATCGATAATTCATGTTTTGATGATAGACAAGAAGCACAAATAATAAGTAGCAAATGTACGCAGCAAAAGAAGCCAAGCTCGAGTCCAAGATCGAGTAAAATGGGTCAGCCAAGTAATCAAGAAAATAAAGTTATTTGTCAAAGTCAAAAATAATATATTAAAGGTACAAGTTAATACAAATAAGGAAAACCTTAAATATATTATTAAGGAAGGAAGTTGTCTATAATAAGGATTCTAATTTAAAAAAAAAAAAGGAATCCTTGTTTAAACATAACTTTCTTACCTTATCAGTAAGGATTGTACAAGGCAAAAACTCGATAAGAAGAGCACGAGGCAGAAGAAAAAAGACGACGACTTCACGCAGAGAACAAGGGAGAATTATTCATCAAATTGAAGTCTTCAAGGTTGATAGGATTACTACGTTTAAAACATTCTTGAGTAAGAAGGTTTTATCGTGTAGAACTATTTGTCTTGTTTTTGTTCTTATTTGTAGTTTACAGTTTATTGTACAAAGGGTGGGTTTGGCTCTTTGTAGGGTTGAGTGTTAGTAAGAGTTGTAACAAAAGGTGGATTTGGCCTTTTGGAGAGATCGATTGGAATCAATCGAGGGAGTAGTAGAGATAATAAGACTTTTGATTATTGAGTTGTAATCACAAAATCTTATAGTTGAATTAATAAAACGAGGTTTTTCCTTCCTTGAGTGAGGAAGGTTTTTAATTCAATAAGTGTTTGTGTCTTTACTCTGTCTTTACTTAAAAGCAACTTACACGAACCTGGTTCGTGTTCTGAGATAAGGTTTCTTCAAGAAAGTTTCCCAAAATTAAGATCCATTTTAAAAGATAAATCAATTTTATATATATATATATATATATATATATATATATATGTTTATCCACAGTGGATATATTTCCAGATTGGATGCACTTTTCAGCTGAGCTGTAAAGGATAAACATGGCCCTATGCCCTTGATTTTGACATCACTATCAACTTGTGCAAGAGGGTTTACTCCTAATTCGATAAGTTTCGAGAGGGAGCTTAAAATGGATCCAATCTGAAATTAAGGGCATAGGGCCATGTTTATACTTTACAGTTCAGCTGAAAAGTGCATCCAATCTGGAAATATATCCACTGTTTATATATGAGTGTGGACAACTATACACAGGGTGAAGCTATAGTGGTGTTAGGGTGTCCAATCTTTCGTTGAAAAATTATATTGTATATATAAATAAAATGATAATATAAATAATTATTTAGTACATTTAAGACACCCTAAACACATAAAGTATGTGTAGCCTAGTGATTCCTAGGACTGACGAGGTAGCGTAGTTTGGGACCGGGGTTGCAAGTTTGATTCTCACCTATAACTTTTTCTCCGTTATTCTATTTAATATATTTTAAAAAAATTTAGTTATTTTCTAAATCTAAATAATACTTAATAAATTGTTATTAGAAATAATAAAAAATTAATATTATCTGATAAAATAATCCTTAGTTAGATCCAATTTAAGAAAATAAAGGGTCGCAAATTCGATTCTCAACAACAATTTTTCTCCTTTATGCTATTTTTATATTTAAAAAGAGTTCTTTTTATAGTTATTTTCTAAATCTAAATAATAGTTCATAAATATATTATTAGAAATAATACAAAATTAATATTATTAGATAAAATAATCCTTAATTAGCTATAATTTTAAAAAAACATATGGTCGCAAGTTCGATTGTCACCACTAGCTTTTTCTCATTTATGCTATTTTTTAATTTTAAAAAGAGTTTATTTTGTTATTGTCTAAATCTAAATAATAGTTAATAAATTTGTTATTAGAAATAACACAAAATTAATTTGATAAAATGATTCTTTATTAAATAAAATATAAGAAAATAAATTAAAAATTTAGCAGCCAAAATTTTAATTGATGTGACTTTGACTTTTTTTAATTAAAATTTGAATAAAAGTATTTTTTATTTAACTTAAGTTAATAAACAACCTTGAAATATTTATATAAAATAACAAAACACAAAAAAGCGTTCATATAGAATTCTTTTTTTTTAAAAAATTGTTTGATTATACTCTTTACTTTAATATGTCTCGTTGTTACAGTCTTTGTTGCTTGGAGCGTAAAAATAATGTCATTCTAAGTTGAATTTTCTCCTTCTTTCTCTCTTTTTTGTTTAGTCCAATCACGTCATACTAAACTAAAATACACATTAAAACGTATATAGTTTGATTTTAAAAATGTGCAATACACCCATTGTCACGACCCAAAAATGGGCGTGATGGCACTCGTCTTATCCTACCAAGACAAGTCAGTCTAAAACCCAATATCTAACAAAGTGCGGAAGTAAATGACAATCCAACAACAATTTCTATAAAAGAAAACCAAGTCATATTAATTCAATCCCCAAAACCAGGTTGTCACGTGCACAAGCCTCTAATATAAAAATTAGAATTGGAACAAAGTAGAAATCTAAATGAAGTTGTCTTTCAAGTAAAAACAAAGTCATAAACTGGAGTAGGAAAGTTCGCTGAGATGACAAGCAGCTACCTCACAATACTCCACAAGATACCTCGGAAACGAAGAGAATGGAAGGTATCACAAAAATCCCGGCTCGTAACCTACAAAAATTTGTAGAAGCAAGGGGTGAGTACCAAACCACGCGGTACCCAACAAACAAACCTCTAAACACAAGTTAAGTGAACAAAATATGGGTACTCCTTACACCCTATCTAAACCTCCACGCTACAGCCTAACAGTTTACCAAACACACCACTCAATAACCACACTCTATCAGTTTACACATTCTCAATAACAACTCAATATTCAACAATCACAAAATTCACAGAGAAACAATCACAAGATCAGCAAAACACATGTTCAAGTTCATTAATAATAAAATGTGCAATGTCATGAGATGCAATGTCAAGTATAATGATGCATGTCTTTCTTAACGATACACACCCGCTGTCTCTCAGTCCGGGACCCATGGGGGACATATCTGTCCATGCATCTGTCGCGGCGCACGACACGACCCTCGATAATAGTAACCTTCGCGGCGCGCGATACGTCCCTCGAAATATAATATCCATCGCGGCGCGTGATACGACCCTCGAAAATAGTACATCCTCTTACCACAACCATGTCTCAGATACAATGCAAATGACATGCTCAAATGAAAAGGAGGAGATAACCATTTGATAACAAAGCACAATTTGCAACAAGAAATACAACACTAACAAATAAGCAACAAGTCTCCAAATCATTCTCAACATTACACAAGGAAATACACGAATTTCGTACGCTTAACAAGAGTTTAGAAATCCACTTGCCTTAGCCAATCGAATAATTACTCTTGGACTTGAGCCTTCCCTTTCTGTTGAGCTTCTGAACCAATGAAATCTATTCAAGTATATATTCACAATAAGGTTTCAGAACTAACAACACTCACACTTTTATGCGTTTAACCTTGACCTAAGAATTCACTAGAATTTATAATTGAATTCGTAAATCTTGATGCCAATTAACATTTCAACTATCATAATTTTTCAAGTTCCGAATCTAAGGTGGAGTCCACTCTTCTCAATATCATAATTTGAATTATATTCATATAGTATAATATACTTAATACTTATTCATATGCACCCAATATTATATATAATAGTTAAAGTTGTAACACGATGTTCATAAGAGATTTCCAACATGAAACTAAAACACGAAAAAGGTATCAATTTAGGTAAGAATCTTACGACCCACTCTTCTATGAATTCTCATAATAATTGTGCATAATTGATCCACTATTTCAAACCTCACAGTGATATATAATAAATTCCTAGCTAATAAATCAATTAGGTTAGCCAATCATACCCTAAACCCTTTGAAAATTGATTAGCCAATACTCACTTTCTCAAATTCTATAAGAAAACGACAAACACATACATAAATTTTCTCTGCCAAGAACTTATTCCAAATCTCCAAACCCCAAATTCAATTCTAATA